GAATTGGTATAATCTTGTCAGCAGGAGAGATATTTTGCAACATATATTTATGGATTTTTGTACTTGCAAAAAGTGTAAAAGTATAAACAATTCTAAAAAGTGCAATTTACTCTTTTATTAAGTAATTTTAATTACAAACAAACTTTACAAACAAAATCTTCTGAAACAGTCCTCAAACACACCTCGTGACACCATCTTTCACACATAGTACACCCAACCCAGTTCATTAGACTCCCATTTATACATTTTTCTTTTGCTACTTCTTCCAATCCACATTCACAACATTTCACATTCTCATCACAGTTGACCTCCTCGTTCATCCCACAAACAACACTGGCACCCATGTTCTCATCATCATCATCCGCACGCTCAACATCTGTTTTCCGTTTTTTATAATTTGTATTTTTTATCATTTCTGTAATTTTGGCACAATGTCTTGCTCATTGTTGTCACCAGCAGTTGAGTTTTTTTTTAAAACATCGATATTTTCCCAAAATCTTGTCTAATTTCGGTCAAAATAGAGTATTTTAATCAATTCCTATTACAATGTATTAAAACAGTTTTCTAAAACGCGAAAAAACGTCTAAAATTCTTTTTCTAACATTGCTTTATTATAGTGTGACTTCACATCTACCCCCCCCCCCTCCTCCCCTCAACACACATCGTCATAAAATTACAGACCCCCCCCCCCCCGCCCCTACGAGTGTGACGTCATTTATGGAAGACCCCAAATAACACCACCACCAAAACCAAAAAATTCAGATAAGTTCAACTTGGTTTTAAAAATATTTGAAGTAGGCCCATAGCTTACGATATAGCACGAGCAACTGATAATATCGGTGACGTCACTTTATTTTGTTGTATCCAAATGATGTAGGCATTTCCTTGTGCTTAGATTTATATGGTAAAAAAAGCTAGAAAAAAATCGTAGGCGGCGGCTATAATACACAATTTCTATGCAACAATAGAAAATATGTTTGCGGCGGCAGCGGATCCGGGCACGGCGATCTTCAAAGACGGTAAATCAGGCGGCCTCGGCGTTCCACACAAAAGACAGAAGTTGATCTATCGTCGGCGGTATTTCCGTCGGTTTCGAACAAGGTGGTATTCTAAGTCGACACAAAAGATGGGGGGAGTTGACAAATCATCAGTATGTTTAGCGACGGAAAAATCGGAAGTTTTAACAATGTAAACGAAACGTCTGGACCAAATACCACTGAAAATCGGGTGCGGTAAATGTTTCGCAGAAATCTTCGCATTTCAACACCACCCATCGTAATTATCGGCTTGTGGTAAAATGCGAGACAAAAAAGTCACGTGACCGACCGTTTTCGCGCCCTTCTCGCATTTTCCCGCCTCGCCATTTCGCTTTTCGCGTCTCGCAATTTCCCCACACCCATTTATAACAGTGTTTATATTTATATTTATTAAAAAAAATTCAAACAATAGGGTGCCAATGGATACCCACACCTATGGGAGATTTAATTAAATACCCACAACAATGAGAAATCAAAACGAGTACCCACATCGATGATAATTAAAATTATTATTAGATCTAATATTAACTTAAAATTGAGAAACAAAACACCGAGTAATCCGAATTAAAATCCGAATTAAAGGAGCTTAATCTCACCATACCAGTGGCCTCTGAGTGTTTTTTTTTTTTTTTAAATTATCCCTCATCACATGACATATAGGTACAGCCTAGATCTAGACTACCCCTCTAAGTCTCTACTAGCCTAGTAGTAGATCTAGTATGTTTAACAAAACAATATAGAAATCATAAATCTATATATAGACTCTAGACCTATCTACATTAAACCTGGCCCTAATGGTGAATACAAACCTAAGCTATTCCTGGTTTGAGGATGTATAAATAATTGTATACCACTGTAAACGTCGAGTCCAATCGGCTTCTATAGATTCTAGATAAACACACAACACAAAGAATGACTTAACGAACACTGCACATAACACATTCTAAATCCACTGAAATCCACTTCAATGAATGAACTGAATCACTGACGACACCACTGAATGAACAGAGAATTAATTAACCTTCCTTAAAATTGCCCTAAAGCCATGTAAAAATAAAACAGGTAGATCTAATACACACAACTTCTGGTTCAACTTTTCAACTTAACACGGAATACTAAGAATAGGCCAACAACAACACACACCAAACGAAGAGTAATTCCTTCTGGAATACAGTAGGCCTAATATCTGTCAGTCCCTTTTCAACTTAAATAGCACGGAATACTAAGAATAGGCCTACAACAATTGAACAACAGAACACACCAAACGTAGAGTAATACCTTCTGTAACACATCTACTACACACTTGAATGTTAACTCGTCAAGCCTACACACTACACACTAAAGATCAATCCTATCGCAACAGCCAACATCGAAACACAACACACGGGTTGAAGACACACACAGGGCGTTAAATCCAACACACCCCAGGGCGTCGCGTCAAAAAAAAAAATCCAACACAACTCGGTCGTCCTTACCTACAGGAGAGTTGACAACACACCCCAACCTAATTCCGTTACGCGGTGTGTTCGCGCCGTCTCGCGCAGACGACCGACTCTTCTACCTGGCCACGGTGAAAACATCGAGGGGGAAAAAAAAACGAGAGAAAAAAATCTGGCTATGTCTGCTGTCGTATGGCGGGGCGGCTTAGCGTGGACAGGTGACGGGTCTAGCGGCGGGGCGTAGCGGGGTATTTTCACCAGTTATAAAAAAAAATACTTTTCTCACGACTCATTTCTTTCTTCATTAGGTAATCGTTCTGTAGGAATTTTGAGGGGTGGGTTGTGATTTGGTGTGTGGGGGAGGGGGGAGTGGAAAGATATTGGTGGAAGGGTTAAGAGAAAGAGAGAATAACGGCGTAGTATTCAACGTTTTATTAATTCGAAACTGGAGCCAAATTTTTCAATTTCGGGTGTTATAATATTTTGGGATCTGACACGGGGCTTCGCGTTAAAGTAAATCTGAGTTGACGTCTGCTATTAGTTCAGTCATAAGCCGTAGTCCAGTCACGTAACTCGACGCGGCCTCGCCACATTCCTCGTCACATACAAAACACGAAGCGGTGCTGTTGACTCAAGCGGGTAAAGGACAGGCAACTCGGCATGTAGGTGTGTTACTCTCTAGAACGTTCTCAGTGTCGAATTTGTAATTATTAGGGGATGTAACTCCTGTATATACAGGGGGTCGTTATTAAATGACGTCATTCTTGGGAGAGAGGACAAGTTTGAGGGGGTCGGACTTTGTGACAAGGGAGGGCGGGGGTTAAGAAAGTATTAACCACAGTTTTGAGTTAAAAACGGGTGCTTTAGCCGTAGTTTTTATTTTTGTTCCGAGTGTAAAAAAGACGTTTGTAAATTGTAATAAAAATAAGTTAATATTGCTTAAGAATTATTGACTGAGCTCAATAATTAAATTAGAAATTGCAATTTTGATTGGAATGGAGGGGGGGGGGGTGTGGTCTAAGATTTTTACGTCATTTTAAGGGAAGTGATGTCTAGCTTTGTGTGACAAGGGGGGGGGGGGGGGTAAAAATTGTTTTAAAAGCCTGATATTGTTTATGGGTGACCATGTTTGTGGTAGGAACGTGGACGACAGTGAGATATTTGCAAGAGATATCTCTGTTATTTTAAACAGATCGGTCGGGTCATCATCTTCATCTTTCCTCCGTTCGTGCCCAAGTTACACAGGGCAGATGAAGTAGAGTTCATCTGTTTCTGAGACTTCGGCAAATGAAAGGATGGTGTGGTCAGCACTTTACCCAGCCGTCTTTGCTTTCCCATAAGAGCTGCGTAGACTCTGGGACGTTCTCGAGACTTTCGGGTTAGCAGTCTAGGTCTCTACCACTAGACCACACCGTCCCACATTGCTTGGATATTATGTTATTAAAGCAGGATGGTCTTTTAATTAAATTATTTTACAAGAAATTAATCACGAAGTTCCATTTCAATTCAATTCAATAAATTCAATCCGTTAAATTCTATTTCAAAGCACATTGAACTGAGAACTTAAGTGGGAGGGTGACGAAGGAAACATTATGATACCATTTCATGGTTCATACAATATGATTTGTCTTCGTTTACAAAAGTTTAAAGTATGTACTAGAATATTACAGGCCAGGAGTAAAGTAAAATAAAGGAAAAAATTCCTCTTTAGACCTAGCTATTCAATGTGCAGATGAAGTAGAGTTCATGATTCTTGACTTAGGCACGTTTAAACATTTTTTTGAATTAGTTTTGTTCACAAGTTATGTAAAAAAAAAAAGAAAAACCTGTCTAAAGAACTTTATAGCTAATAACTCAACGGTCGGGGAGTCGACATGGTCAAGTCGGCAAAGTTCACCTTTATTGCTAAACTGAAAAGGCTATGGAAGCAAATCCGAAATCAAACAACTGCTGCCTTGTAGTTTCTTCTTGGTTGGACAAAGGAAGCAAATCCAAAAAGAAAAGCAGGCTGAAATCTAAGTCAACTTCCTAAATGGCGCATAATCAGTTGACATGTAATACTTAATTAAACTAAAATTAAGAACGCAGAAGAGGAATTTGAAGAGAATTCAACAGTGATTTTCATTTAAACAAAGGGAGATAATCTATATTTGAAATACTTGTACACAAACACTGCTAGCTTCCCTTTGCTTTTCTTAAAATGTGTTCCTGTCTTCTATGCATGGTTTTGTCCATAATTTTACGGCGTCTCAAGTTGAACTCCCTTTTCCACCCCTCCCCCGTCTTTTTTTTCACATGTGTGTACGTAAAATACTTATGTCACCAAAACAGCATTTTGAGATAAATGAGTTAGAATTTAAATTAAATATAAAACATAATGATTTTTATTTTAATTGTTACTTTGAAAGAGGCACTGGAATAAGTATATGTTAACATTTGACAAAGCTACACTGTCGACTGCGTAGGCCAGAGTCACTTATATTTTATATATTCATTGTATTTAGTATTTAGAACTAGGACTACAATGTCTTTTCCTTTGGATTTAATTACGGCAGCTTATGCTGCTACTATAGCTGCTGGTGGCATAGTTGGATATGTAAAGGCTGGTAGTGTTCCCTCTTTAGCCATGGGTGTTGCTTGCGGTACACTGATGATGTTTGGAGCATTTCAGATGGGCCAAGAACCCAAAAATGTCACATTATCCTTAGTGACTTCTGCTGTTCTAACTGGTGTCATGGGATACCGTTTTTCTAACAGTGGTAAATTCATGCCAGCTGGTTTAGTTGGTGCATTGAGTTTATTGATGGTTCTGAGGCTCACCTATAAAGTTATGACAAACTAACTCCTCAAGTGTGAAAATCCTAAAAGTTATACTTTTGCAAATTTGTTTAATGTTTTTATCATTAAATGTATGTTGAACTGTTTTCTGGTCTATTGAATAGTTACAGAGTTTTGAATGGCTTAGATGTATGTTATTGAAATGAGTTTTTTAACTTATTGTGAGAAGTGAGATCCAAATGTATGGAAATCTGGTAAGCGCTTCTCAATTCAAAAAATAAACAGAGATCATTTTAATTTTTCACCAATCTTCCATTTTTTTAAACTGAACATGAATATCAACTGTGTGTACTAATTTTTTAAAATTTCTAATGTTGAAGTGAATGTCTCTGCTTGTCTATTTATCAGAACTTTATCCCACTGTTTTCTTAGATGATGTATGTAGCTATTAGTATTAGTTTGTATTTTATTCAATTGCCTTTTGAGCATTGGCTTAAACTTAAAGTAGATACTTTTCTGATACTGGTGTGCCTGGTCTTCCTTATAGATATAGCTAAATAGCAGAATCAATTGAGATCACTTTTTGCATAATGAGAAGTGTTTTATTGCAGGTTATTAACATCATCTTGGAGGTATGCAGATGAAAGAGAATGTAAATTTCATAATTTGGTAGATTTATTGAAACATGTAGAAGATAACACACAAACAAGAAGTGTTTATAAAAACTATTAAAAGAGAAATTGTTAACAAAAAAAAAAAAGTAGGCCTATATGTTAACATTTGTACATAAAATAACTTTAGATAACATCATGCTAGAAGAATAACGACCATTCCTTGGTTTAGTTTTCATTTAAATGTTGCTTAATTAAGCAATAGGCTCTTCCAAATGTATTCCTTTCCATGACAAAACTACATTTGGGATATTATGTCTTTGCAACTTGGTCAGTAAAATTGTCTTTCGGCCATACATAATTACAGGGCCGGCGCTACCTATAAGATGAACTAGGCGGTCGCCTAGGGCGCTAGCCATAGGGGGGGGGGGGGCGCAAAATGTGTAGTTTCCAATAGCAAAGAGAACCTAATAATTAATAACTTTGGTTACATAATACAAACTTTAAACTTTAGGGTAATATACAAAGGCGTGGCGATCTATTTCGAAGCCCGAGACGAACTATCAATTTTGCGCCCCATCTTCAAATTAGGCCTTATATACTCGCCCCCCCCCCAACCTCCCTCACTATGAAAGGTTGGGGGGGGGGGGGGGGGCTTTTTACCAGTCACTGACTTTTTATTTTTGTGTCCCACAATTAATGTAGAAAACAATTAAATAAGTCCGTAATGCCCAGTAGCAGTCAACATTCGTTATTTCGACTGTATATAATTGAGTAATCAGCTTTTTATATTATTATCTACGGCGTTTGGGGCCTTCTTTAGAAGGCTATTTGAATTTTTAAATAGGGCCGAGTCTAATTTTCTCTCACTTTGAATTAGACATCTCGTTAGCCAGGGAGAGATTTAGATCGTTAAACTAAATTAATTGTTGGCACCGCAAGATCCTAAACAGAATGTTAAAGTAATATTCTAACACACACACACACACACATATATATTTATATATATGTACACACGTATATATACGTTTATATATATTATGTATAGGCCTATATACATACATATATATATGTATATATATATATATATATATATATATATATATATATATATATATATATATATATATATATATATATATTTATTTATATTTAAATATATATATTTAAATATATATATATATATATATATATATATATATATATATATATATATATATATATATATATATAAATATATATATATATATATATATAAATTTCCACATATATAATATGGGGTTTCAAAAAACATTTGCGGGGGGGGGGGGGGGGGTTAATAAGTTTTGCCTAAGGCGCTAAATAACCTCGCGCTGACATTGATTGAGTCTAGTTATGTATAGGTATCGAAGTTTGATATGTGTTGTGAATGTAGTAGAGTATATCAAGCAGTCGAGTTTATCGTAAGTTAGATTATTTCAATTCAGGACGGAACACACTACAAGGAAAGGTTGGCGTTATCTAGTTGAAAAAATCGTTAGTTTTTTAGGAATCTATACATCCACTCTTTAATTATTAATATTCATTAAATAGGATGGAATTTATAGCTAACCGTAAACTTTGTTTTTCAAATTATACTTTTTTAAATATATAATAATTCTAGCAATGTCTAAAACAGTTAATGTGTTTGATTTTTTGAAAGACGTCCCTTTAAGTAAGGGATCCAAAAATTTTATTTTGCTTGTAAAGTGAGAATACCATAGAGTGAATTTCATGAAAATTGAATAGAAGTAAGTTATAATAAAGCTACAAGTTTTAGACTTTCAAATAAAACCTACAGTTAAGTATTCAATAGGTAAAAAATATACTGTTTTCACAAAATTACATAGCAAATATAAAACATGGATTATAATTAATACGTAAAGAAATTTAGATAGTGTTATTGTCTTTATCAAACATGTCTTAGTTACACTTGGTTAATTTAGCAATTCTTGTGAAAGTTATTTCCCTTGAATACAATTTTGTTATTTTGATTTTCAAATGGGAGATAAATCGTTGCTTAACTTTACATTCATTTCAAATTCCTGCACCTTAGGTTGACCGCTTACATATAAATACAACTTCAGGTTATTATTTGCTACTGTAAAAAATATATAGAGCTTAAGTTCTAAACAAAATAGTTTGGTAGGTTTTTTTTAGCATTATCAAGTTAAAAACAAATACATCAGTAGCCGTTGTAGATTGCAATACTTAATGTTAGTATTGTTAGTCTTAGTCGTAAATTAAACATCTAATTAATTGTCTTTTCAAATTTTTCACCCTCTGCTAAAGGATTCATCATATATAATAATTTTAGGCTGGAATCAATATCATTTATAACCTTTTATTTTTCAAAAACAAAAAATCGTTACATAATCACACAATATAGACTTTTTGGAATAATAACTAAAGACAGTCAAGCTTAAAACAGGTAAGTTCCGTTTTGGTCACCTTGGGAGGGCTGCAGAGAGTCCAACACTACAAGAACTTTTTTTTCAGTGTTTTTTTTCCAGCACTTAAAATTTTCTAAGGGGGGGGGGGGGAACTATGTCGTAAAGTAGACTCGTGAACTTAGCAACAATTTCAAAGAAATGTGATTGCGCTGGCAAACTGGCATTGAAGGAATTAGTACAAACTTTTGAGACGAAGGAGGCAAGTAAAACTTGATTTTGATGTCTACTTATAACGTGTATGCAATTGATGATAAATTAATATGTCACTTTTAATGAATTGTTTTCTTATACATTTGCTTTAATAATTACTTTGTGTGAAAGGGGGCGTTTTAATAAGTTTTGTATAGGGCGCTAAATAACCTGGCGCCGGCATTGTAAAAGTAACAACCGTTATTATCTTTTCCCATACGTGCCCAAGACACATGAACAGATGAAGTAGAGTTCATCAGTTTTCGGCATACATGAGGATAGTGTGCTCAACACTATGCCCAGCCACCGCCTTTGTTTCCCTAACATGAGTCAGGTACTCATTAGAGCTGGGTGGACTCAGGGACGACCGACAGACTAGAGCCCGGGATTCGAACTCGGGACTTTCGTGTTAGCAGTCTAGCGCTCTACCGTCCCCAATAACAGCTGTTGGCTATATCATAATGCCCATCTTTTATATCCAGTTTTCGATCTGAACTTATCACAATTTGTTAGCAGTCTAGCGCTCTACCGTCCCCAATAACAGCTGTTGGCTATATCATAATGTCCATCTTTCATATCCAGTTTTCGATCTGAACTTATCCCAATTTGTTAGCAGTCTAGCGCTCTACCGTCCCCAATAACAGCTGTTGGCTATATCATAATGCCCATCTTTCATATCCAGTTTTCGATCTGAACTTATCACAATTTGTTAGCAGTCTAGCGCTCTACCGTCCCCAATAACAGCTGTTGGCTATATCAAAATGCTTATCTTTTATATTCAGTTTTTGATCTGACCTGATCATAATTTGCTTTTCTACATCACGAGAGAAATTATAGTCATCCACCTCACTCTGGTTAGATAGAATCCAATCCCTTTTAACAGGGAAAGATTTCAATATCACCAATAGGTAAAGAAGCAATAAGCTGAAATATTTTCCCAGCAAATAGGCAGCGTCAGAGGCGTAGCGAGGGGGTGGGGGTGTGGACCGCACCAGGTGACACCATTTAGGGGGGGTGACACCAAGGCAAAAAATAGTAAAATATATAGAGAAAAATGATAATTCCACTTAATTAAGTGATTAATTCGAGTGTTAAATAGTTTGAGGGGGGAGGGGGGAGGTGCAAATCGAAAATTGAAAATGTGTCCCAGGGAAGAGTCTGGGGGGTGACACCATTAAGTGCCGCCCCGGGTGATACCGGACCTCGCTACGCCACCGGGCAGCGTTCCATCTTTTCAACTGGCATTATTTACTTCTATTTAAATTTAACAGTTTCTTGTTATGGATAATTTTACCAATTAGAATTTTTTTACATTATTTTTTTTCCTGCATGAACGTAGTTTTCTTTACAAATTTTAACAAAGCATCATAAAAGAGCACAACATGAACGTGTTTTTCCCACGTTTTCTTTAACTTGCTTTCGCGTCCGGTTCTCCAATCAAATCTTGCGATCGACATTTCTGGCACTTCCCAGTTAGCTAGCGCGCTGAAATTTTCAGGGAAGCTTTGTTTTGGATGACAATAGAATATTCAATTGTTATTATTACTAAATTGATCCATGGAAACATTTTATTGAGCATTTTAGACCGCTATATAATTGTAGTAAAAACGTGGGGAAAAGGGGACATAACCCAGTAACTGTAATTTGATGAAAACAAGGTTCGGTACTTTCCCTCTTTTTACTGAGTAGTGTTCATGCGGTGGTAACAACTGGTGGCCAGTATGGGGGAGACGATATGGTCGAGTGGTTGGGTACACGATTGCTATCCCACTCGACACGGGTTAAAATCTATG